GTTGAATAATGTACCAATTTTCATTTAATTTTTAATGGAAAATTTTTATGCTCCGTAATTTTGTAATTTTTGACAAAAAGAAACATTAAAAAATGGAGAAATATTTTATTGTGCGTGGATGTGCAAGTGTTTGAGCATCTGATCGGAAAAATAGACTGAAAATGACTTTTATTGACAGCACTTAGTGATAGCAGCGCCTCACTGATGGTGTCCAGCTTTCTGGGACACTATTTTCTACGGCGATCGTTCTCCTGTTCTCTAACCTTCATGGTTTAAACTTACAATTTTGGTTTGTCCCTATTTTTTTTAGGATTTATCCCTAAAATTCCCTAAACGATCTTAAAAATTTTTATTTTTAAGGAGTACATTTTTATTAGATAAATTAAACAATAATTTATTATTTTAAATATTTATTAATAATTGATTAAAACTACTTTTACGGATTTTATCGCGTTTATTTTACTTTTAATTACTTTTATATTTAATTCCCGACGTTTCGGGCGCTTTCCAGCACCCATGGTCACGGGCAGTCACGGGGGACTGAGATGACTGACGTCGCGATGTCATTGTTAAACCCGGAGTACCTTCAGCTCTTTTAATTATTGTTTATGGTCCGATCTATGCAAAATGAACTGACTATAGCCCGTTCACCGAAGGATGTCCCCTGCTGTGATGTTGGCTCTATTGCTTGTCAATCTGTTGTCAGTTTGTGATTATAACGCTCGTTTTTGTGTTATTATTTAAAATATTCCGAATTAATTATGCCGAAACCATTTAGAAGCAGTGCAAGAGAGGTTGTGTTGAAGGTGCGTGCCTTTTGTGAGAGAGAAAAGGCAAACCAAGCCCCGTTAATTCCACTCAATCAAGTGCGAACTCGCGTCGCCGCCATGACAGGTTAGTAAAATAGGGATGCCAGCTTCATGCAAAATGCCTTTAGTATGGGTAATAATAAGAAATTACTAACATTACGAATTAAAATAAAAAGTACGTATCTCAGTTAATTTAATTTATTTTTTTATGATAATGTCTGTATTTGTATTTTATAAATATTTAATTTTATAAAATGATACAAATTTGGTGTCTATTTCAGGCATGTCGGAGAAAACCGTGAGTATAATATCTAAAGAAGGTGAAGCTGCTGCCTCTACATCTCAAAAACTCAAGTCTCCTGGAAAACACCGTCAAAGACGTAAAACGGTGGATCTTGATGATTTCGATTTATGCGCAATAAGAAACAAAATCCATGAAATGTATACTGTAAGAAAAGTTGTTCCTACTTTAAATAAATTACTTGTAGAATTAAAGAATGACATAAACTTTGGTGGAGGTCGAACGATTTTGTGGAAAATTTTAAAACAAATTGGATTTCAGTATAAAAAGTGTGGTTCGAAACGGAAAATTTTAATGGAAAGGCACGACATAGTTGCATGGAGACGCAAGTATATCGTTACTATGAGGCAAAATCGAGCAGATGGTCGGCCAATAGTTTTCTTAGATGAAACATACATTCACGCATCGTATGCAGTGAAAAAATGTTGGCAAAAAGTTGACGAGGACGGAGTACTAATAAGTGATTCTGTTGGAACGCGGTGGATAATTATTAATGCAGGTGGAGAAATAGGGTTTGTTCCTAATGCTCAATTGATTTTTAAATCACAGAGTAAATCAGGGGACTACCATGACAACATGAACAGAACCAATTTTATAAAATGGCTTTCAGAGAAACTTATACCCATTTTGGCTCCGAACTCCTTAGTCGTGATGGATAATGCTCCCTATCATACCGTACAAGTAAATAAAGCAACTACTATGAGTTCCTCAAAACTTCGAATGCAAAATTGGATAACAAATAAGGGATTGTCTTATATACCAACAATGCTGAAAGCAGAACATTATGAAATTATAAAAGAGTACAAAGAAGCGCCGATTTATGAGGCTGACCAATTATTGCTTTCTTATAGCCATAAAGTGGTTAGGTTGCCCCCTTACCACTGCGATTTAAATGCGATTGAGTTTATGTGGAGTCTTTTAAAGAGACGAGTAGCCAGCAATAATGTCGGCCAAGAAGCTGGGAATATCGTGAAGTTAACTGAAGAAGCTTTTTCATCTATAACCCCTCAGGATAGGCAAAAGCAGTGTGAACACGTAAAAAATTTAGAAGACAAGTTTTATGTACTTGATGGCTGTATGGATGATATTACTGATAAATTCATAATTGAATTAGGAAATGACAGCAGCACAGATTCGGATACGACAGATGATGATGACGACGTTTATGAAAGTGACAGTGATACGAGTATGTCTGGAATTGTTCCTTTCGACCATAATTTTTGTCGGAAAAAATAAATCAATAAATAATTTAAAAATTAAATTGTGTTATCATTCACAACCTTACTAGTCTTATAACTAACTGTATATTATTTAAATAAGCAAGTAAAACATATTAATCAGGGGTTTTCAAGTTTAGATAATTTTGCCAGCAACCACCAAGTGGGGTAAATGCTCCATGTATTGTTGGCAGCACCGTAGACAACACAGAACGCCACTATTACTCCTATCGGGTAGACAATGCTGCTATTTCCCAAGGCAGGGGACATCTTACGGTGAACGGGCTATATGTCCTGAGGTCTTGCAGTGGTATGCTTGGATTTAGTTTTAATTTTATTGATTATAGGCTATCAAGCATGTGGTAGTACCCAGCCTCCTTCGTCTATTAAAATTAGGATGTTTTTTAATTTCAATAGCCTCACGTATCATCCTTGGTAGGAATCGGTGTTCTTTCGCGAGGATTTGTGGTCTATCACATCTGATGTAATTGTTGGGCCCGTCCAGGATATGATCACAAACTGCAGACTTCCCGGAACGTTGATGTCTCCCGGAAGTCTGCAGTTTGTGATCATATCCTAGACGGCCCCAACATTTACATCGGATTTGATAGACCACAAATCTCGCGAAAGAACACCGATTCCACCAAGGATGATACGTGAGGCTATTGAAATTAAAAAACATCCTAATTTCAATAGAGAAGGAGGCTGGGTACTACAACCTGCTTGGGATCCTATAATGAATAAAATTAAATCAACAACAAAAGATCGATCACCAAAAACCAGAACTTACAAAAGATTTAGAAGCTGAAGCATTACTTTTGTAATGTTTGGCCACACTTATTATGGAACTGTTGGGTTCCAAAATTGAGCAATTGTTTGCTTGCACTCCGAACTTTGTATGAAACAAGCCGTTCAGAGTTTCGTTTAGAAAGTCTATTTCTTTTATCTGTTTTTACATTTTTTGGAATACTAAATAATCTTTCTACCTCAGTATATGAAGATGGAACTGTTAGTAAAACTGAAATAACTACTTCAAGATTTTCGTAAATGAAATTATCATGATAATCTTTCATGCTTAGAACCTTATTCCAATAAATATAAGCTGGCATGTTTTTAATTCTTCTTCGCTTTCAACTCCAAAATGCTTTAAGTCTATAAGAGCTTGATTGCTCCATTCGTTATCTGTTTTTTGCATGTTGCATTTTGTCGTTAAAAAGTTAAATTTATCAAACACATCTTTCACCGATTGTTTCTCCAGATTTTTTTGCTATTTTTGGATCCACATACTTCAATAAGTCAAAAAGTTTCTCATTCAAATCGAACCGCTTTTGGATTTGCAATACTATTTCCACATAAAATTCACGACAACTAGCATAAAATTTGTTCACTTCTTCTGTAAGGGCTTTTGTCTTTAAATCTTTAAGTATCGCATGTGCTTCCATACCAACGTATATATGATCATTATTGAGGTGAATTTCTGTTTTAGTGACGTCAATTTGCTTAAGGCTCTTTAGATCCGAGCTAAGACTCAGGTGCTCCTTTTTGACAAAGTTGCACAAAAAAGTGTTCGACATTTTCCGAAACATCTCTGGCAGTATAAATAATTGTGGTGATTTTGTTTAAAAAAATGTATTAAAAGCGTTAGTTATAGAGAAGACGTAACTCATGAAGAGTAATAATGCTTTATTAAGTGGGTTGTTAAGACTGTTCAAGATGGAATCATTAGTATTAGAAGGATCCTCAAAAACTGCCCCGTAAAAAATAATTTACTGCACTAATATCCTGTAGACACAAGCTTGAAGTGACAACCATCTTGTATTTAATGCAGAAAGTAATTTATGTTGGCCAATTTTTAGAAAATCCTGAAACTGTTTGAGTGATTCCGTTCGTTTAGAACTCATATGAAAATATGCAGGTATATTACAGCACAAATCTTCTAAATTTTAAGTAGTTTACGGGAGGCATATGATGTCGCGAGATGTGTTAAATGGCATGAGAATTCTATAATGGCCTGATGTGGAATTTCAGTTTTTAGTAAAGCCTGAACTGAATTGTGCTTTCCCATCATTACGTTCGTCGCATCTGATGAAAGTCCGAAGACATGATCAAGAGGTACTTCTTGTTTTGAAAAACTTCCTTTAATTGTTTGGCGGATACCTTTTGCCGTTCCATCAATCATGTCTATCATATCAAAAAATATGCATTCCACTTTTTTGTTAAATTATTAAAAAATGTTATAATAACAGCCAACTGTTTTTTCACAGACAGATCTGTTGTTTCATCTATTATTATATTAATATAACTATTCTACATGATATCAGTCACTTCTTGTTTATATGTCGCTCCTGTAACTTGACGTAAAATATTTGTTGCATTTTATTTTGCTAGATGCACGCCTTCTAAACATTTCAATTCCAGAAACAAGTTTCGTAACAGCGATACAAAATCATCGACTAAAGAAATTGGTAGATCATGTTTTGCAAGAAAGTCGTATATTTTTAATTACATTAATAGCGTGCGTCTGATTTTTGTTCAAAAAAGTTGACATTCTTCCACATTGTGAAATGACAACCACCTTTTTGGTATGTTTGGCATTGTTTTTATGTTTAAGTAATTCGGACACTGCACATACAATATCACAATCGCATATTTTACAGTAAGCTTTTGTCTCACCTTTATCAGGTTTCTTCAGCCAAGACTTAAAATCAGGATGCTCCAGCCAAGAAGTTTTAAATTTTTGCACGTATTTTCTGTCTTTACTTGCTGAATTTAAAATCGAAGAGGAGGGTGTTACATTATCTTCTTCCATTTTAATTTACTTACAATTTAATCGAAAAGAAAAATCAATATTTTTTGTATTCTGAGGCGCAATTCGGAGTGCAGTATGTAAATGAAACAAAACTATTCAAATCAAGCAAGCCTTGATAGGTGTACATAATATAACAAAGTTTCGACTACATCTAAAACAACGAAACTGATATTATAAATGACAAATTAAAATTGGACGGAATAAATTCTATATGGTACGGAATATTCCCCTTTCAAAAATGAACCGCGGGCGGTGGCATCAAAGAGTTTGTACATACTACAACAGGGTTACCATCATAAGTTTAATTTTTCCCGAATTTCCCTAAATCCCTGTCTTATTAAAATAATCCCAAGTCATGTACAATTTTTTTATTTTTTATAGAAGCGTGGTAAGCGAGCATACGGTTCACCTAATGTTAAGTGACTACCGCCACCCATGAATATCCGTAACAACAGAGGAATTGCAGAAAGGAGTAAGCTCTCGGAGTCAGCTCACCTGATGATAAGTGACTACCGCTGCAACGTCAGGGGAATTGCAGGTGCTTTGTGGGCCCTTTAGAAAGGAGTAAGCTCTTTTATTGAAGGTCCCCAGGTCGTATTGGACCGGAAATCCACCGGTGGTAAACTAATAACTTCTAAAGAAAACTCCTAGTGAAACGTACAGTGGTGGACCGCTAAGCATCCAGATGGTGTGGATGGTATCTGGAGGCTTGCCGCGTAGTGCGTTCATGAAATTTGGCGGCTGGGATTAATACGAACTTCGAACGATTCCTCAGAGCATTCCCCGTGATAGATGCGATAAAATACGCAAAGAGATGCAACACCTCTTCACAGCGCTAGTGAATCGAGCCGAATGGAAAGCACTCAGTCGTCGACGATTTGAGCCGCTCTGCGCTGGATGCGGTCAAGTGGAAGGAGCTGGCACTGGGGAGCCCCAGCCCGGAGATGGGAACAGTATTCGATGTGCGGCCGAACCTGCGCCTTGTAAAGTTGCAGGTGGTGTGCCGGCATAAAATACTGTCTCGCTCTGCTTAGAACGCTAAACTTTTTAGAGGCCGATTTGGCCTTCTCTTCCAAGTGACCACGAAACTGCACGTCACACGATATGTCGACGCCGAAGATTCCGATACTGGCTGAGGCAACAAGGGAAGTGCCTTGAAACTGAGGAGATACGACAAAGGGGTTCATTTGAGCGGTTAACACGCAAATTTGTGTCTTCTGAAGGTCAAACGAGAATAGATTTAGTCGCCCCAATCCGAGACTTCCGTGTGGTGGCGGTTGAGAATATCCACTACCCAATATCTTCCCGTGGGTGTCGTAAGAGGCGACAGAGGGAGACAGGCAGGAGATGGGCAGCAGCATCTTCCTGATAACAACAGTGATATAATAAAAAACTGGGGTTGCCAACCCGCTCGCCAAGCGTGGCAACTATGGCAAATATCCCCCCATGAATAACGACGCAAACAAACGGCCCCCAGTCCCCGGCGGCCCCGCTATTCCTGGCTACGGTGGCGACCATGGTAACGGCGGGGCAGGGGGTGCTAATAATCTCCGGTGGAGGTTCGGTTGCCACTTACGACGACTTGACCAGGCAACATATATCGCACGCACCCTGAGGACTGACGAGAAAATCCTGGAGCTGGAAGAAGAGGTAGACAAGTTGCGCTGGCATATTATTGGATTATCCGAGGTCCGAAGAGAGGGGGAGGATACGGTAATCCTCGAGTCCGGACACTTGTTCTATCACTGGGAGGGCGACCATTTGTCCCAAGGAGGTGTCGGATTTATCATCCACAAGTCTCTAGTCAACAACGTTGTGAAGATTGGAAGTACATACATACAGTATACAGTAAGTAAGTACATACAGTATACAGACATACAGGTTTACGCACGAACCTCGGCACATCCCGATGAGGAGGTGGAAGAAATGTATGAGGATATTTCCAGAGCCATGCATTCCTCCAAAACCCACTACACGGTGTTGATGGGAGACTTCAACGCAAAACTAGGTAGAAGAGAAGGCGGTGAGCAGAAGTTAGGGAAATTTGGAGTAGGGCAACGGAACCGAAGGTGCCAGCAGCTGGCCGACTTTATGGAGAAAGAGGGACTCTTTATGATGAACTCTTTCTTCCAGAAGCGGCCCCACAGGAAGCGGACCTGGTCGAGCCCCGACGGTTCGACAAAAAATGAGATTGACTTCATTATGACGACCAGACGCCAACTGCTCAGTGATGTCTCAGTGATCGCAAGGGTAAAAACTGGCAGCGATCACCGAATGATTAGAGGCACACTGAACCTACACGTTAAGTTAGAGAGGTCTCGTCTAATGAAGTCAACGCTCCGTCCCCCTCGTGCTCTAATCCAGAACCCCGAAACCTTTCAGCTCGAGTTACGTAACCGCTTTCAGTGCCTAGAAGATCGCAATACACGTGGACGATATGAATGACAAGCTCGTGGAAGCTGTTCATGCGGTCGGGGCTAAGTTTTGCAAGACCCGCTGCAGAAGAACACAAAAACTCTTCGATCACACTCTTAATCTCACGGCTGTTAGACGGGAGATGAGGCTGCAATCGTCAACAGACATGACAGCATACAGGCAACTGAACAGACAGATCTCCAAATGCATGCGGCGAGACTTACGCAACTTTAATACTGCTCGTATTAAAGAAGCGATCGAGCGGAACCAGGGCTCCAAAGTCTTTGCCAGAGATCTGTCTGTCGGAAAGAGCCAACTGTCAAAGCTGAAGACTGAATGTGGCAGCATCGTTTCCGGGACACCTGAGATTTTGAGTCAGATTGAGAGATTCTATGGGCAGCTTTACACATCATCGTTGGAGCCACATGCAAGTGTGAGTAACGATCCAAGAGCAAGTCTTATCCGACACTATTCCGATGATATCCCGGACGTCAGTCTGAGCGAGATTAGAATGGCTCTCCAGCACTTTAAAAACGGCAGGGCCCCAGGCGAGGATGGAATTACAGCGGAGCTTCTGAAAGCGGGTGGAACACCGGTACTTGAAGTCCTTCAGAAGCTCCTCAATTCCGTCCTCCATGGTGGCACTACTCCGGAGGCGTGGAGCAGAAGCGCGGTGATCTTGTTCTTTAAGAAAGGCGACAAAGCTCTCTTGAAGAACTACAGACCGATTTCGCTTCTGAGACGCGTCTACATGCTATTTTCAAGAGTCATTACGAATCGTCTCGCACGCAGACTCGACGACTTCCAGCCTCCCGAACAAGCCGGTTTCCGAAAAGTTTCAGTACCATAGACCACATACATACCCTGCGGCAGATTGTACGGAAGAACCAAGAGTACAATCTGCCACTTTGCCTGGCGTATGTGGAATATGAGAAAGCCTTTGATTCCGTCGAAATTTGGGCGGTGCTACAGTCTCTTCAGCGGTGCCAAGTTGACTGTCGGTATATCGAAGTGCTGAAGTGTTAGTACAGTAGGCCTACGATGGCTATCCAAGTACAGAACCAGAGTTCAAAACCTATCCAACTGCAGAGAGGTGTAAGACAGGGTGACGTTATATCCCCGAAACTCTTCAGCGCTGCGTTGGATGACGTATTCAAGCTACTAGACTAGAAAGGATACGGTATTAACATCAATGGTGAGTACATCACTCACCTTCGATTTGCCGACGATATAGTCCTTATGGCAGTGTAGCGGCGCTGTCGTCGCGCCACAAGCGAAACACACCGAAGCCTAAATCACGCTATCAACATTTCGAATCATAAACAGTATATATAGAACATCTCCGAACTATCACACAGAGCGTTGGCCGCTCCCCGGGCATAACACCTTGCCCGGCGGGAGATCTCCCCTTTTCCTTCATCGGCCACAGTGGTGACCATCCGACGTGATCTGAACACGCAACCAAACAACCTTCGGAAACTTCAAGCTTCATCATCGTCATAGAATACGCCACCCATTCGCTCCCGAGCAGATATCGTCTGCAGTCTTCATATCCTGTAAGCCATCTAGCTTCACAAGGTTCATCGCAGCACTGGAATAATAATGCTTCCTGTTCCTTCAAGCTACTCTCTGCGCTATACAGTGTTCGGCATGGCTCTGGGCCTTACTGCTCGCCTCTGCTTCACGGCACTCTCGCAGATTACTTGCCTTCTTCTCGACTCACCGCAGACTACAAGGCAATCTCCTGGCACTTGCACATTCGTCAACAACTCGACTGCACTATCGACCTCCGGTCTGAGCAGGGAGGTGATGTAGCGGCGCTGTCGTCGCGCCACAAGCGAAACACACCGAAGCCTAAATCACGCTATCAACATTCCGAATCATAAACATTATATATAGAACATCTCAGAACTATCACACGGAGTGTTGGCCGCTCCCCGGGCAGAACACCTTGCCCGGCGGGAGATCTCCCCTTTTCCTTCCACGGCCACAGCAGAATCGCTGGAGGACCTTAGCACTATGCTCAATGACCTCAATGGTGTCTCCCAACGGATAGGTCTTAAGATGAACATGGACAAAACAAAGATCATGTTTAATGTTCATGTCACACCTATGCCGATAGTTGTTGGGAGTACTATGCTAGAAGTTGTTGACGAGTACGTTTACCTAGGACAAATAGTCCGACTAGGTAAGTCCAACTTCGACCGAGAGGTCAATCGACGGATTCAACTCGGCTGGGCAGCGTTCTGGAAATTACGACACATCTTCTCGTCAGGTACACCTCAATCTCCGAAAACTAAAGTGACCGTGCTTTGTGGCGTTACTTGGGGGAGGCCAATGTTCAGCAGTGAACTTGTGAAGGGAAGATGATCCGAGACTTTGTTCAGCAAAGACTCGACTTCAGGCACAAGTTTGTCCCGGTACTCGGAGGCGTCTTCCCTAAGAAATATTGGCACGGCTGGTGTACAGAGCATCACCAGTGCTGTCATCTGCGTAGAAATGAATGTTGCCGGTGTGCAAAATATCATTGATATGCAGAAGAAACAGCGTTGGTGATAGCACGCAGCCTTGTGGAACACCAGCAT